ATGATTTACATTAAAAGCCGTTGTCTCCGGAATAAAGTTTTATAACAAACACTCTAGTCTTCCCCACAGAAATATGCAAATTGCCGCGTGAATTCGATGCTGCTCTTTGCAGCGTTCTCTTTTTTTGGGTCCGTACATCTGGGCCCACCAGAGGGTATTTCGGTTTAAAACCCAAATTCCATTTTTTTTGACCGCCGGCGCCGGTAGTCGGATTGGTCGTGGAGGAATTATGTTTTGGTCTCCCCCGTTCACGCAGTGAAAAATTCGAGGTGTCGGGCCTATAAAAGGTTAGGACGGGAAAGAGGTGTCAGGACAGCAACGGGTTCCAGCTCTAAAAAGCGGCTTAACTGGGTGCTCGTGTTGCGAACTTCTGTTCGGAATAGTCATTTAGTTTCTTCAAAATTGTAATGTACATATTGAATGTTAAAAATTTTTATAACTTCTACAAGTAAATATAGTTAGTCTTAAAGCTGGGCCACAAATTTTGTAAAGCTAAGTTCACTCACCGATTTTTTGCATAGCGTAACCAATTCAATTCGTGCCGATTGGAGGTTGAGCGCGATCTACACGATCCGTCCTTAGCCTTCAAAAAGCATAATTAGCATATTAGAGCAACTTTTTGTGATTTCTCAGTTTTATCAGTTCCTAAAAACGGCAAAATCAGGACTTAAACCTTAAACTTTCAACAATCCAGAAACCTTGTCCTTTTTCGTGAAGTCGTTGTATGGACAGCTATACTTTTTCTAAATAGGGTAATGCTGGTCGTCGTCGTCTCCCTCGCTGTCTTCGGGGCCACCCTGGCCATCAACCCGAACCTGCAATGCGCCCCGGACGCCACCGTCGGCCGTAAGCCTTTTTTTGATTATTGGCTCGATACGTTCCCCCAACTCTTTCCCCTCAACAACATCCACTTCTTTGTAGCTTGCCTCCCCAACTGGAACTGCTCCACGCCGGATACGATCTGCCTGCCAATTGGTGGCGGGGATTGGGGGTGCTGCCCCTCAAACAAGGTTTCGCCCATTTGCCCACAGGGCGGATGCCAGGACGGCGCTTCGACCGGACGTAAGTTTCTAAGGCTTTTAAGCTGAGTTCCACGTATATGTGACCCCATTTATGAAAAAGCTAATCTAAAACCATTATAAAATCCTATTTCCAAATAGTGTCGGAGTCCAATAAGGCCGACGTTGCAAACGACTAAGGTTTCGACTGAAAATCGAGCCGTTTAGCCTGCGATATGGGCCCTTGCCTCGACCTGGACGACGTTTGTGTCACCGATGACTCGAATGAATTGGTGTGCTGCCCCGAAGCCGACCTCACCCCGACGACCCTGCTGTGCAACCCGGGCGCCAGCTTGGGCCGTGAGCTCATGACTTTCGTATCAGATTGGTGACTTTTAGCTTGCAACTCTGGGCCGTGCGGCATGGCTGAGACTCTCTGTCTGCCAATCGGGGGTGGCGATCTTGGATGCTGCCCTGGTGATGAGATTACCGGCGAGTGCCAGGTGGAGGGCTCTTACTGCAAGTGGGGACAGGATGTTGGACGTGGGTTTTTTATATGCAGAGAAGCGGCCTCTGTTAATACTAGCAAATTGTCGTGCGTGAAATAGGATATATAACAGAAAGCGTTAATTCCATTGTTCTAGCTTGTCTTGGTGGTACCTGCCAGTCCGGTGCCTCATGCGTTGCCCTCCTCACCGGAGGCGAAGCGTGCTGCCCTACCGCCTACATTCGCAGTAAGGGCCTCCCCTAATACTGAACCTTTTTTAGGCAACTAAACCCCCTTTCCACTCTCTTCCGAGGCACTCCTCCAAGTTAGACGAGCCGACCGGCTAAAAACAAACGCTTTCTCGCAACCTATTTTGCGAAATAGAACCTTAGGAAGAATAAATTTTGTAAGCGAATTGTGGTGGAAAAGATTCCTTGGAGAATTTCCAGTAAAGTGCAGCCAATATTCAATAGCATGGCAAAAAGTTGGCGGCGAAAAGCTGGTTCGCTGAAAGGACATGGCTGCTGAGAATCCAATGCTTTATTTCGCTTCTAATTTAACAGCGTTTCATGCAGAGGCAAGGCCCACGATTCCCCGGCGCATAGGGGTCAACATTGCACGCCACATCATCCCATTTGCCGGAAGTAAGCATCTGACAAAACGTTGCACGTAATTCATCCAAAATGTTGCACGTTTTACGCGACGCTGTTGCTTATCTTTCCAAAAACCTACCACCGTACAATCTTGCAGATATTGGTCCCCGGTGGGATAGTTTTCTTCGAAAATCGGCTGCTTCGTGTCCCAATTTACGTAGTCGATTGTTGAATTATTGCTGAAGGATAAAGTCTAGAAAGTCAAGGGCGCGTCATCACCTCCAAACACTGATGAATTTGCCATTTTTCCAAATAGGCATCATGCCAATATGGACCACAACCTTCCCGGGGCAAATGCTGACGTTGAGGCTGTGCATTTTTCCTAGATAATAGAGGTCTTCTGTGCTTAATATCACCCGCTAATGGTGGCTGAAAAGATCTTTGGGATGTACATCTACATCTACATTGGCTATACGGACTCAACCCACAAAGTTCTTACTGATAATTGCCGCATTTTCGAGCTCAGAATGGATGGCTGGATTTTCGAGGCCACGATCAGCGCACATTACTCTGCAATCCTAAAACTTATCCGTAATCATTTTTGATAGTCCCACCCATCCCAGATAACACCTTTTCGTTAGCAAATAATAATTCGTTTTGTTGTACTTCCACGTTGGTTGTAGTGTGACTAAAAAATCTGCGTCAGCTTTAAAATATACCCGCGTCGCACGGGCTTCGAGAAGCAGTTGATGTTGAAGTCGTCGTGGTTGTCGTGGTTGTCGGCGTCGTTGTTGTCACAAGGGCTGTCAAAGTGGTAGAGGCACACTGGCCACCCTTCTCATACCCGAAGCACGTCGCAGGGCGAAGGCGAACTAAATTTTGGCACACCCACATTCTCACATTACCGGAAGCAATAATTAGTGAGGTGGGCTTCGTCAGTAACGTGGTGCCCATCAGACAACCGCCATCAATATTGCACCAGACCAAAGAATTACAAAACGGACCTGCCAGGCAATCTTTGAAGCAACCCTAAAATTCGCATCAGAATAGTGGAAATGAGAATTTTGAGGTCTGTAGCAGAATCCCGACATACCTTTAGTGTTGTGCTCCAGCTGAGGTTGTAGTTCCAGGTGGCTCTACGATCCTGGATCGGCAAAAGTGTCACGTTATCAAGTGACACTCGCTGCCAGGATAGATTTCCCTAGACCTGTCATGACGAGCAGCTTGCGCTTACCGTACTGCTGTTAAATTTATAGAAGTTTAGCGACAATATTAGTACGCCGAGTCTCTTGTTCATGTTGAGGCCTGTCCTCAAGAATTGTGACTTCCAAATTCAAGGGCGACCTAATAGATCTCCTTTGCTTGAGGTCACGCAGCAACGGGCCAAATTCGCATAAATCAGTCGACCGCAAAAGTTTATCCAAGCCGACATGCTACGTATTTGCATTCTGCACGGAAAACCTTCCTTGGCAAGCGACCCGTATCCTCTTTGCAGGGTATGAACAATATTCCGAGGACAACAAAAAGACAATACGTCAACAGCCGTTTATTACAGGGAAACAACCACTCAATTCATGGGATACTCCTGAATTTAGCAACGCTGCATGCAAACACAAGGTGCCCGATTGATCATCAGCAGCAGCACACAGCTCACATCATTCCATCCGCCATCGGACTGCATCTATGACGTTCGCTCGATCAGTCCATGCCTTCAGCTACCTTACCAAAGTGCATGGCTCCGTGTAGGTGACGTTGTTCTTGATATGGATGTATGATGGCTCGTTATCATTCCAATTCGTAAAATCGATCGTCGAACCATCACTAGAAGCCTATTAAACAAATCCCGCTCTGGAAGATCACCGCCAGAAATTCTGATAGCTTCCATCTTTAGCATAGCGCCAGCCCATCCCTAGGTGCACCACCCGGCCGTCCACGCATTCGCCAAGTTTGAGCATTTTGGCTGGAACGGAGGATAGGGGGCTAGGTAACGTGAAGTAGTGGAAAACCAAAAGATAGAAACGTACACAGTAGCGCTGCGTTTTCTTGCGTCGAATGAACGGTTGGTAATTGGAGATTGAGTGAATTGCATAGTAGTACGCATTCCTTAAAGCATAGACGTTGGTAGTATCACTTACATGTCCCATCGTACAGTTTGGTGTCGCTAGGTAGTAATTCGTCTTGTTGTACTTCCAGGTTGGGGTTAGGGGGAACTGTTAGCGTGGGGTTCCGCATAAATTTGAGGCTTACCTGAATCACAGGGACTTGCAGCAGTTGTAGTGGTCGTTGTTGTCGTGGTCGTGGTCGAGGCCGTGCTCGTCGTTGACGTCATCGTCATAGTGGTCGTCGACGTGCTTGACGGGCTTGAAGTAAAGCTCGTCGTCGAGGTCGTCGTTGTTGAAGTTGAATCCGCAACCACCCATGCCCACGTCTTCGTGGTTGGCAACTCATCTACTTCAGAGGTATCACGATCAGAACCCGCCGCAATCTCATAACCGACGCATCTGGCAAGATCCAATGATCCTGAAGCTCTCTATCTTTTATTTTCACAAAAATACCAGTGTTACGCAGTAATTGCATCCATGGAGCTGAGCGATCCACCCATCTGGAGACATCCTTCCACAAGGCACCAGATAAAAGATTTGCACGTGACGTTGAAAATGCAGCCCTTCAAGCAGGCCTAAAAAAATTTGTATCAGCTTTGACAAGGGTGTGATTATACCTTAAATGTAGCGCCTTGCGCCCAAAGCCGATCACCCGCGTCTGGGAGGATCACAACAACGTCCAGATTTTTCACGTCAACCCGATTCCAGGTAGTGTTTCCCTACATTAGTGCTTTGGGGCGATCAATTGTTACCTACAGCCATGCCCGGGACGCTGAAAGTGATAAATAAAATGATCCGCAACATTATTGAGCCGCGCGGCAAAGGGATTTCCGGCTTTTTGAATCCTAAAAAATTGTCATCGCGATTAGCCGGTGAGGGTTTGAGTTTCTCGGCAACAGACTGAATGGCCTCGGTTTGGAATTGGTTAGCAGAATGAGGAAAGTGACAGCCAAAAAGCTTATTTGTTACAGAAATTAAGGAGAAAAAATTGAGGATTTATCGGAATTCCACGGTTTTATTAACAGCGTTTCATGCAAAGACAAGGGCCGTGATTGGAGAGTAGCAACACTTTACAGTTTACATCATTCCATTCGCCAGAATGCTGCATCTAAAAAACAAGTTTCCAACGCTTTATGGGCCACTACTACGGTCTTTTTTTGAAGCCCAAGCCTACAAATGCAAAAAGGAAATTAAGCATAAAAAAGTCGTCCCAAACTTACTAGCGTACAGGTTTCGTTATAGTTGATACCATTTTTGGCATGGGTGAATGACGGCTCAGAGGTCTTCCAATTCGTGTGAACGATCTTTGAGCGGTCTCTATAGATTTCGGCTAATAGACTCCGGATCTCAGTTACCGCCAAATACTCTGATGTTTATTTGCTGCATTGAATCGCCAAGACATCCCAATATGAACCAACTGGCCATCCACACATTTGCTGCGAGTTCTCATGTGCCCTGAAAACCCCAGAATTTTTCTAAATACTGGAAAATTAATACGTAATAGGGCTGCGTTTTCTAGGGACGAGTGTATCGTTGGTAGTTCCAGATTCCGAACATTACAATGCTTGATGCAGGCCTGGATATGTTTTTGAGGAACCGGGTGATGGCCTTACGGCTCCCATCGTACAGTTGGCAACGATTAAATAGTAATTCGTTTTGTTGTAGCTCCAGGTTGGGGTGAGAGGCACTAAAGACATGGAATGAGGGAAACATTAAGTTGATAACTTTATCACATGGACTTGGTTTTTTAGTTGTAGCCTTTGTGGTCTTTCTTGTAGGGGTGGCGGTTTTGGACGTAGTCTTTGTCGTTGTCAGGGTCATTTTAGTCGTTGTTGTAGCCGTTGGTGTAGTTTTAAATACCGTAGATGACTTCATTGGGTTTGTAATTATAATCGTAGATGGAATCGTAGCTGTAGTTTTGGGAGGGGTAGATGGATTTGTTGTAGTTGTAGGGGTAGCTGCCGTGGTTAACATCGTTGGCATCGAGGTCGTAGTTGTGATCATCGGTGCTGTGTTCCCCTGTTAATGATTATAATGTTACAAGCTATACCCTCGTCAAATCCTTTTGCCCGGAAAATCGATACCTCCGTAATTGACTTTCCTCCATTACCGCCCACTGCAATCTTCTCAAAACCAAGGCAACTCTCTACGCCAACTGGCGCTAAAACGTTAAAGGATCAAGTACGCAAGGTTATTAAGCTTACCAACAATCGATATCTTCCGCAATTCACTGAGCAACGAAGCGCTCTTTCGACACCCAATTCCACAGCACCATATAATCGATTTGCATTCCGGTTCTCCGTAACACTGCCGTAGACAGCCCTAAAAATTAGCGTTTTCGCTTGTTGAAATCAAGACTTCACCTTCAAAGTGGGTGTCGGAATCCAGTCTTGTGATTCACTATTGGGAAAGTCGTTACGCAAAATTTCTAGGGTTGGCTTGAGTTCAATCCGGCTCCAAGCGATGATGGGCTAAATTTATCCATTGGAATGAGCTTGTTTGCGTTTACTGTAGCGTCAGTGATACAGCAGAAAATAGGTAGAACGGCAAAGAAGATTTGCGGGAACATACTGGAAAGTTTAAAAAATGGCGACTAAAAGCTGGGATGGAATGGGAGTCAGGCTCAGCGGCCTAGACAGCAAAAAGGGTACGCAAAACCTTGCCTCTAGGTCGACGATCATTTCAATTTGCTTGCCGGCAGTGTCAAGGCCAAAGGGTGAGTCGCGATATGTAGAAAAAGTAGTAGCTGACTGTCCTACATTGCACTCCCGGATGAAAAAGGGCTTATTGATCACCAGCTTAAAAACATAAAGTATCGTTTCATAGGAGGACGTCAATAGCCTTTTAACAACGCTTCATACAAACACAAACGCCTTTAGTAGATGGATTCTCTGGATTTTTCGCATTTTTTGTCATTCCATTGCCTATCACTCGCTATCTGAAATACGATCCAAAAATAGGAAGCCCCTTTTTACCACGATACAATTCTCAGGGACCATCGAAATTGTTTTTGAAACGGGGGTTCTTCGCTTGCCGATTAATGTCGAATTAAGGGCGAAAGTCGGACCGCCGTGGGAACTGGATTGGCTCTATTGGCTCTGACGAGTTTAGCCAGCCGTGTGCCGACTGATGCATGTGTGTGCGTGTATTTGTTTTGAAATAACTTTAACTAAACCACATCTTTTTTAGACTGAATTTTACTGCACAAAGACCAGAAAACGCATGGTGGTGGAGGGTGGACACAAAAAGAGTGCAACGAACAGTGATGGGATTAGTGGTACAGTAAGGCTTCAACGTGTACATCTGGACGCAATGTTAGTACGTTGCTTTACGTATGCTCTTCTACGTTTACGGAGTACGTTTCGGGCTAACACCGTTTCATACAAACGCAAGCGCCCATGGTGGTTGGATCGGTGGCTGGGCAAATCACGTCGTTCCATCTGCCATCTTTCGCCATCTAAACATTTGTTGTTAACGCCATCAATGTGTCGCGAAAATAAATAAATCAATATAAAATCATGCTTGCGTGCCACCGTGCAGTTCTCAGGGACGGTTTGCGCCGTGTATTCATGTGGAATGATGTAGGAGGGCTCCCCATTGGCCCAATATGTATAATCAACCGCTGAGCCGTCCCTGAAATAACATAATTATTATTGACTTCAAAAAACCTCCATATGTTTCGATATCTTGTCCCTGCAATTACATTGGCCATACCAATCATCACACTTGCGCATTTGGCGAGTTGAGCGATTTTTTCTGAAAAATTATTTAGTAGTTTCAAAAATCAGGAGCGTCTCCAGTCGTGAATAAAAATTTCGCATTACTAACGTGAAAGCTTGGCTTGCTCTTTCGCGGAATGAATCGTCGTTAGTTGGAGCTTATTTTGGGTACAGGTCAGCGTGCAGGCCTAAAAAATACGGCTTGATGAACAAGCAAAAATTACAGAGCCGGAGACGCACGTGGTGATGATCAAATAGTAGTTGGTGTTGTTGTAATTCCAGGTCGGATTGCGGGTCACTGACAGTTAGAAAGTATTGTCGCTGTCGAGGGAATCGTTATTAGTTAGTTTATCGTTAGTCGTTGTTGTGGCTATTGTAGTTGTTGTAGAAGTCATGGCACTGGCTCCAGCGGATACTCGAGAAGCCCCCTCCAACTGATACCCCACACATTCGTTCAGGTTGACAGGTACTAAAACGCCACCCAAATCTAACAAACAAAGCAACAGACAGCTCGGTTTCAGCAGCGCTAGGTTCGTGCTCAATAGAGATGGCGCACGTCCACAGAGCAAATTAGCATGACAGAAAACGATGGATAGGCAACTTGTTTCGTTTACACACTCGAGCAAGCAATCCTAGAAATGACTATAAAATATCCAGGGGCTCAGCTACCTTTAGACTTATTCCCGTTTGTTTCACAAACCCTTGCGAGCTATAGCCGGGGTTTGAGTTGGCGTCAAGGGTTTGCAATCTGTACAAACGCCATGTCCTATTTGCCTAGGTCAATACTACAAAAATGTTTAGCCCCAAATACCATAGCAATATGGTGACAAAGCAGAATTATAACAATGCATAGAGCACGTTTTTCAGGTCCACACATTGTCTCAAAGCTTGAAATATGGAGGATTTCACGTTCAGCCCAGACAGTGTGGTATCATGGCAACGCCGGATCAAATTTCACATAACTCACTCACTTTGTGGGTATGAAGTGTAGCTTTATACCTCGTTAAATTCGTCTCTGAGAGCTTTAATTGTTCGGCTAATTATTGATTCAATTTTTATCGTTCAGGTGAATGGCAAATCTTTTCATTTTTTTAACATCGTTTCATACAAACGCAGGCGCCCTTGGTCCAGGAGCTCTCCGCAGCACATTTCACGTCATTCCATGTCCCATCCGCCGCATACATCTATAAGCCACCCTTCTGAATGCTGATCTGTTTTTCATACCACCGTGCAATTTTCGGGAACTACCACGTTGTTAGTGTATTCAGGAGGGATACGAAAGGAAGGCTCGTTGTACTGCCAATGTGTGTAATCGACGGGTGAGCTGTCCCTAAAAGCCTTGGTGGTTTTGGGAGAAGAAAATTAAATTTTGGGTTACCAGCTGACCTCCAAACGCTACGGTATTTCGAGCCCGTCCGCACATTCGCCATACCTAGCTGGGCATAATCACAGTTGGCTAGTTGTCTGACTTTTTCTAAAAAATGCATTGACTTCAATCAAATATTAAATTAAGGCTATGCCAAACCTAGGCCTCAGCCTAAGTCTAAGCGGAGGGTAAGCCCAAGCCGGAATTGAAATTCTAAAGCTTCAACCTAAAGCGCGACAAGAACTCCCCAATTTTTGCAAAATCCTCACGCAAAAATTTGGCCTGTTCCTTCGCGGAGTGGATCGACGTCATTTGGAGCTTGTTGTTCATGCAAGCCGTCGCGCAGGCCTGAAAATTGCTAGGGGAACTGACAAGGGGAACCTCAAGTTGGCACGGTGGAGTTTCGAAAAACGCTCGCGGCTACCCCTAGGTTTTCGACTATGGCGATTCCAACGCTCTAGTCAGAATTTCCTAAATGGGCCTCTGGACAGAGATACAGCACTTCCGGAAATTCATCTTTTACATCCGAAAAGTTAGCATAACTGATAGGTTTATGAGGCTCTCCCATTACTATGGAAACACCGGTTGAATGGCCGAGTGGTAAGCGACTCGCTTGATAGAATACTGACGAGGGTACGGATCCGCTCGCGACTACTTTGGAGCAGTCAGGCAGGCTGGGGAAATAATCAAAATTTTCCTATATTAAAAATGAAAACTTCGAGTAGATCTGAACAAAAAGCAAAAGAAAAAATCGCGAGCGGATCCGTACCCTCGTCAGTATTCTATCAAGCGAGTCGCTTACCACTCGGCCATTCAACCGGTGTTTCCATAGTAATGGGAGAGCCTCATAAACCTATCAGTTATGCTAACTTTTCGGATGTAAAAGATGAATTTCCGGAAGTGCTGTATCTCTGTCCAGAGGCCCATTTAGGAAATTCTGACTAGAGCGTTGGAATCGCCATAGTCGAAAACCTAGGGGTAGCCGCGAGCGTTTTTCGAAACTCCACCGCGCCAACTTGAGGTTCCCTTGTGAGTATAAAATACCGTTCCCGATGTGCAGCCAGCCACTAAGATATAGTAGTTAGTGTTGTTGTAATTCCAGTTGGGGTTGCGGCTCACTAAAAGTAACTCTCCATTAATGCTTGCGAAAGAAGGTACCAAGGTCACAAGGGCTTTTAGTCGTCGTCACTTTTTTCGTCGTTGTCGTCTTCTTTGTTGGCTTTTTTGTCGTTTTCGGCGTTGTTTTCTTGGTAGCTGTAGCGGCCTTCTTGGTGGGCGTCACTGTGGTGCTTGTCGTAGTTTTTGTAGAAACCGAAGAAGAATTAGCTTCAGCACCATCCAACTGATATCCAACACAAAATGTTAGGTCTTCTGGCACTAGAATTAGCCATTTTTGAAAGTCTAACTGCAACTTACAGCTTGATCTCAGCCGTTCAAAGTTTTCAGTCAACAAAAAGTGAGCTTGAACGCAAAGCAAGTCGACCCGACACCATGCAATCGAAAAACAATCTGACGCATTGACACAGCTTAGCAAACATTCCTAAAAAACATTTAAACACCGGAATGAAAGAGTTACTCGCAGATTCATTCTAGTGCTGCTAGTTAAACCTCCATAGCCGGTAGAATTGGTGGTCACTGATTCACCTTCCAGGTTTGCCAATCTATAGAGAATCCACGTCGAATTTGCCTAAAACGCAAGCCCTCAAATAAGCAGATATTTCTCTTACGGCAGCGCTCATCTTTAAGAGTACGGTAACATAAAGGATGCATAGCAGTGATGTACGTAGAATAAGCATTTTCGCGGCAAACGTTCTTTGAATGTATTGAATATTTTTGGTTTGCAGCGTCGAGCAAGGTATCATGGCAACTAGTTTCAAGATTTCACATCACTCCCTCAACTATACTCGACTTGACGGCTCTAACGGCTCGACTTTTGTGCTGGGAACTTTTGGTGGTTATCTGTGCAGTAGAGCAAGATTTGGTACACACACGATCTCCATTTTATTCTAGTACGTTTTCAGCTTGGTTGGTACAGGTACAGGTACAGGTAAGCTATATACCAAGTTGTCGAGTGTCTCTCGCCTCTCTTAAACTAACATCTTTGCATGCAGATACAAGCCGCCACAGTTGTCGTAGCATTCCTTTGGCAAGACACATCGTTCCATTGCCCATCTTTGGGCATCTGAAAGCTGTATGCTTACCCAAAGAACTTGTAGATAACGCTGTACGTCCGAACCCTACCACCGTACAATCCTCGCGAATCGTTTCCGCGGTCCATTTATGTGGCACGATGAAAGACGGTTCCCCTGAGGCCCAGCTGCTGTAGTCAATCAACGAGCCGTCCCTGTCGCAAAAATTGGATTTTTTTTGGGATGCTGCTACCTCCATGCACTGATATATTTGGTACCATTCTGAATATTGGTCATTCCCAGATGCACAGCGGAACTTCTCAGAAGGCTGAATTTCTCTGAAAAGACGTAGATAAATAATTCAGGGTTTAGTCGATTACGAGAGGAATTTAATGCACAGTTGAATGCACAAACTTACGTAAAAGAGCAGCTTGTTCGACCTTCGAATGAATAGCCGGCAGCTCAAGGTTGTATTTTGAGCAATTTGATAGACAGTCCGAGCCCAGCACAGAGGCTTCCGATAAAATGTAGAAGTTTGTGGTGCTGGAGACCCAACGTTCGCTACCAATTTGGTCGTCTAGAAAAGAAAAAAACTAAGGTTCGAACATTACTTTAAGTATGACCAAGTTCACAAGGTTTTCTTGTGGTGGTAGTCGAGGTAATCTTCTTGGTTGTAGTCGTCATTATTGCGGTTTTTTCAGTGCTTCCATTAAGCCTTGTGTCCTCAAAACAGTTTTCATCCAGTTCATAGGCCACACAAAATTTCGCGTTTGGGAAAACTAAAATTCAGTATAAACTACAAGGAAGAAAATGCCTGTCGTTTCCAGTAGGGTCCTGTTCTCTGTTAATAAAAAGCATTCAATCATTGCAATTTTTCGATCGCAATGCATTGCTGCAAGGTGGGAAAAGGTTTTTGAAAAGGTGCGAAAGCCACCAGAAAATCGGTTTTCTGCGTGAAATACCAGGTATCATGGCAACTCAGGCGCGAAACTTCCATAATTCGCTCATTTTTACTAGGTTTGAGCAGAGCTAGGTCGTCACTAGAAGCTATTTTTAAACCCGTCATATCGTGTCGTTCGTGGTTTGTTATAGCGAGAAGAAAGTATTTATGAAGCAAGAGAGAAGGTTGTCTATTTTAGTCCGTTTTAATAACAACAAATGGTAGATGATAATTATGGAATAGATAATTAGTGACGGATTGTGCTCATCTTCTAACATCGCTTCATGCAGACACACGCGGCGGTCGATACAAGGTTAACGATACAACTGACGTCATTCCACCGGCCCTCAGGTATAACCTACGCATTGTTTTTTTATGAATTTTTTATAAACCGTTACGACGGTGCAATTTTCGACGTAGGTAGCTGCTCCGGTAAATACGACATAGGAGGGTGCTCCGGTGAACCAGTTGCTATAGTTTACGACCGACCCATCCCTGCAAGATTATATTTTTGGCCGAGGGTCTCCCACCCTCTCTCTCTCTCTCCCTCTCTCTCTCTCTCGCTCCTTTTCCTCTCTTCATTTCATCCAAACCGGTATTGTTTTTGCCGCTCCTACCGCCAAATGCTCTTGTAAGAATTTCCGGTCTTGCGATTTGCCATCCCGATATGGACAAGATTCACGCCACATTTCCCCCGCTTAAGAATTTGCTCTAAAGGTTAACTCCTTTTTTGCAGCAACCTTATTAAACCCTACTTCTCAATTCCGCCTGTTCAGCCCCCGAATGCACGGTCACCATCTGGAGGTTACTGCTTGCGCACAACGAAATACATTTCTGGGTTTTGTGTTAGTTTCTAATTTTATGTTTACCGTCCCCAACACACAGCCGGCTTGTAATAGATAGTAATTTGCATTGTTGAAAGTCCAGGTTGGTTTTCGGGGCACTACAAAAAGATTACCTTCCCTCAAAAATCTACCTAGATCGCAGGGGCTTTTGGTTGTCGTGGTGGCTTTTTTGGTTGTAGTCCTTTTCTTCGTGGTAGTAGTAAGTTTCTTGGCTGTGGTTATTGTTGTTTTTCTTTGTCGTTTTGCAGTGCTTTTCGTACTCGTAGTGGTAGTAGTAATAGTACTGTTCGTCGTCGTCCTTGTCGGAACGGTAGTTGTTGTGGCTGACGTTCCGGCGGTCGTTTGATCAGGTTGGAAGCCGATGCAGAGCGTTAGATTTGGGTATACTTAAGAACCAAAGCTGCATTTCTTGTATATACTCTTCAGCTTACAAAGTGAAGCCGGAAATGGTGCCGACCCCGTCAGTGCTTCACCAGCTAATAGGCAACTCGCATCCGGAAAGCACCAAATTATGGACGTGCAGTTTGGTTGTGCGATGCAGTCTGTGAGACAAGTCTTAATTTCGGAAAGATCTGAAAATCAGAGCCGATAACTACCTTGAGCGTAACGTAACGAACTTTGGAAAAATACCCCTCGACATCAGTATGGGAAATAATTAGGTCTCTTAAATTCTGTTGCCGCCAGCTGACACCACCCTAATGAAACTTGCTTCTTGGTGCCTGCTCTATTTTTCTATTACCAGTAATGTATTCGGAAGGCAAACCAACGACAGGAGGAAAGAATATCTGTCGATTCGAGGCATTCCTTTCACATGTAGTATATTAGAGAAAACTCAATTCTAAAACTCCGAAAGCTTGGCTTGATGAACCTAGTGGTATCGTAGCGACCGCCGTTTGTGCCATAGCTCCATCATTTCCATGAAATTTCATGGACGTTTTTGAGATCCCGACCACAACTCAACTCTCAGACTACGGTATTTGTAGTGACAATGATTTTGAGTGTTTTAAAATTTATTCAATTTGTTTAACGTCATTTTCTGGCTTTAGCACTCCTTCATGCAAGCACAAGCCCCCAGATTTGATGTAGCATTCACCAGGCAAGACACATCGTTCCACAACCCGTTTAAAGCCATCTAAACGGTAAGTTAAGTAATTAAGAAAATTCATACCACAGTACAATTCTCTCGAATTGTCTCTGCCGTCCATTCATGGGGTACGATAAAAGAGGGCTCGCCGCCTGCCCAATTAGCATAATTCAACGCGGAACCGTCCCTACCAAGGAAATCAATTATTTTTGTCTGCCCCACCTCCAAGCGCTGCTAAATTTGATACCCTTTTGGATATTTGTCATCCCAATATGGAGATTCCGATTTTTGAAACGACCGAAGTTTTCTGTAAGGCATTTTGCAACTACCTAAAAAACTCCCACGTACGTTTCAGCTTCGTCAACTCGGCCACGGAATGCACGGTTATCATTTGTAGCTTATTGTTCGTGCACATCGTGTAGCATTTCTAACGGGATCATTGCTCAAAAACTGAGCCCCACCTCTCCCAGTACGTAATCCGCTCGCAGTAAATAGTAATTTGCATTGTTGAAGGTCCATGTTGGTGTTCGGGGCACTAAAAAGATTACCTTGCCTCAAAAATCTACCTAGATCGCAGGGGCTTTTGGTTGTCGTGGTGGCTTTTTTGGTTGTGGTCTTTTTGGTCGTTTTCTTCGTGGTAGTAGCCAGCTTCTTGGTCGTGGGTTTTGTAGTTTGTTTCGTTGTCTCAGCGGTGCCTTCAGTTGCCGCAGTTGTTGTAGTAGTTGCAATACTGGTGGTCGTCGTCGTTTTTGCAACTGTAGTTGTCGTAGCTGTCGTTCCAGCGGTGATTTGTTCAAGTTGGAAGCCGATGCAGAGCGTTAGATTTGGGTATACTTTAAAAATATAGCTACATTATTACATGTACTTCCAAGCTTACAAAGCGAGGCCGGAAAAAGTGCTGAACCCGTCAGTAATTCACCAGATAATAAACAACTAGCATCCGGCAGGCACCAAATGATAGAAGTGCAGTTTGGCTCCGAGATGCAGTGAGTTAGGCAAGGCTTGAAACTGCATAACGATCAAAAGTCCCAAAACTACCTTGAGAGTAACGTCTCTAAATTTGGAAAAATACCCCTCCACATCCGTATCGTTGTTTGTGGAAATAGGTAGATTGCTTAAATTCTGTTGCCGCCAGCTGACGCCACCCTAATGAACTGTTAGTCTCTGCTTTATGGAATTACCAGTAATGTATTCGGGAAGGCAAACCAACGACAGGAGGAAAGAATATCTGTCGATTCGACGCATTGCTTTCTGAGGAAGTATTAGAGAAAACTAAATTCAAGAAAACTTTCAGTCTCGTAGCGACCACCGGTTTGCGCCACAAATCCTTCAAATCAATGAAATTTCATGGACGTTTTGAGATCTCGGTCATAACTTAACTTTTAGACTACGGTATTTTGAGTTTTTCCCTCCAAATACGTTCAGATTTATTCAATATAAATAATAATTATAACGTCATTTTCTAGCTTTAACACTTCTTCATGCAAGCACAAGCCCCCAGATTTGATGTAGCATTCACCAGGCAAGACACATCGTTCCACAACCCATTTAAGGCCATCTAAACGGTACGTTGGGTAACTGAGAAAATGCATACCGCAGTACAATTCTCTCGAATTGTCTCCGCCGTCCATTTGTGTGGTACGATAAAAAGAGGGCTCGCCGCCTGCCCAATTAGTATAATTCAACACAGAACCGTCCCTACCGAAGAAATCAATTATTTTTGCTTGCCCCTACCTCCAAGCGCTAGTGAATGTGTTGCCCTTCTGAATATTGGTCATTCCAATATGGAGATTCCGATTTTCGAAAAGACCGAAGTTTTCTGGAGAGCCCTTACGGAAAGACCTAAAAACCTACGTTTCAGGTCGGTCAACTCGGCCACGGAATGCACGGTTATCATTTGTAGCTTATTGTTCGTGCACATCGTGTAGCATTTCTAACGGGATCTTTTCTCCAAAACCGAGCCTACCTCTCCCAGTACGTAATCTGCTCGCAGCAGATAGTAATTTGCATTGTTGAAGGTCCATGCAGGCTCTCGATTCACTAGAAAAATGGAAATGTTTCTAATTGCTAGCGGAATTACCAAGATCGCAGGGGCTTTTCGTGGTCGTTTTGGTTATAGCTGACTTTGTCGTCATTTTCGTGGCTATCGCTAGGGTTTTTGTGGTGGATTTTGTAGTTGTAGTGGTCGTTTCTAAATATGACGTGTTTGGCAGTCGTACCGCCACTAAGGTTCTCTCTCACTAGCTCTTTCTCTCCCATTCTCTGTTTCCCTCTCTCTCTCTCTCTCTCTCTCTCTCTCTACCTTGATAAACACCAACAGCGCAACTCGCCACTCTACCAGCCGATACATCCATTATCATTTGAAAATCAGCTGTTTCATTGTTATAGACAAATGAACAATTCCCGAGCCCAGAAGAGGCTCCAATTCTGAATTTTCGGCTTCTTGTTGCTTCTCCCTACCAGTAGCTGCATAATTAAACCCGGTGCACTTATAAATTGTACTCAACATCTGGTTAAGGCAACCCTGATAGCACTCCACAAATTCCGTTTCCTTTGGATCATAAAGGAATGGATAAGTCTGGATGTAAGCAACGATTATGCTGGAAGTTAGCGTAGGGACAAAATAAAAGAATTTCAATAAGAAAATCATGAAGAAGGACAGCAGCAACGCGATTTGAATTTCTATTAGAATCCGGATTTTTTGTGTCCAAGGGCAGCAAGGCGGCCATGGTTCGGTGGTCAAGTTTTGTCATACAAATCTGGGAGCATGTTGCCCTGCTGCACTCTGTTGCCGGGATTCGGAAATTTGTGGAGGGCATTTTTGATAGAGCACAGTGTAGCGCTTGAACAGTGGGCGTGGAGAGGTTTTAATTTATTGACAACCACAACCAGATTTATCCCTATTAAAATCCGATACGATGCTTGGATTGTGTTTCAATTTAAAGGGACTTCGACACCTGGCATCGCTTCATGCACAAGCATGAGCCATAAGCAGTTCCGGAGCTTATTTTGCAATTCACGTCACGCCATTTCCCATTGATAGTGTCCATCTAGAGTAAATGCATCGAAGGCCAATTTTCATTTTTCCTTACCAAGGTACAATTTCTTGCCATGAGCGTGCCGCCGTTCATTAAAGTATATCAGGTTGGTAGATAAGTCCTGTCACAAATTTTTGAAATCGCTCTATAAAGCCGCAGAAACGTCCAATTTTCACTTGCGATACATGATTTGATAGGTCTTGAGATGCTCTACCGTGGGTGCAGTCGGATAGGGTCTGGAAATTGTGGGTCGCCGAGATAACGGCCCTTGAAAATTTTTGAATAATTACGCAAAAGTGTTTTAGCGAGTTATCTCTGCATAGAGCAATTAGCATGCGATACCTTTAACACCAATCGATAGCCCTCGAGGAGTAGATATCGATAGATGTTGAGATCGTGAAAATTGGGCACCGGATGGCCGAGATATGGCCCCTTGAAATTTAGCCCATTTCTTAGAACTTTTCTCGAAATCCCATACATTTTGACAAAATCTTCTCGGTGCGTGCAAAAACAAGGCGGCAAAGTTTGGCCCAAATGTGCAAAATGTATGGGATTTGGGGAAAAGTTCTAAGAAATGGGCTAAATTTCAAGGGGTCGTATCTCGGTCATCCGATGTCGGTTTTTGATGATCTCAACATCTATCGGTATCTACTCCTCAAGAGCTATCGATTGGTCTTAAACGTATCGCATGCAAATTGCTCTATGCAAAGATAACTCGCTCGAAAGCTGTGACTAGATTTTGAGCGAAACTTTTCGAAGCTGTATCTCGGTGACCAGCTACTTTGGGGTCCTAGGAGGGTCATGCTGAGGTAGAGCGTCCGAAGACCTATCAAATCATGTATCGAAAGCCCAAATTGGATGTTTCAGTGGCTTCATAGAGCGATTTCAAAAAATTGTGACAGGACTTATCTACCAACCTGATACTTTGGTTGGCCTGCGTTCCAGTTTAGGTAATCGACCGGGGAACCGTCTCTGGAATAGGAATGTTACGCATACCGACGCGACGTCGGATCAACATGCGAATTAGGATGAAAAGCGCAAAAATTGTTTTATCTAGCTTGTTTTGTACTTTGCATCCTAATTTGCAGGTTATCCCTAGGTCGCGTCGAGATGCGTAACATCTCTCCTCTGGTAGAAGGAAGAAACCATTCAATTTCAATTAAGATTAAAATTCGAGAAAGAAAAACTAAAAAAATGCACCTCCAAACCAGTTTCCCTCCCTGGCCCCGTCCCAATTTTGCCGAGGCTGAGATGCACACTGCCACAACTTCCAATCCAATCCATTATGTCTAAATTGAAAATGTGCTAAGCCGACGAATAACTGAAATGCGACACGCGACACAGATATACAGCTCGGGGAAAACGCCCTTACAGGAAAGGTGCTGATTTTCATCCTCCGAGTGGACCGTTGTCCCTTCGAGGCCATTATCCCGGCACATTGTCATGCAAGGCTAAGACAAGATGAGGCCAGACTCGATTACTGACCGTTCCCATGACGCATTTTGATTGCATTAAGTAATAATTGGTCTTGTTGTAAGTCCAGGTTGAGTTTCTCGCGACTATAAGGTATTATAAAATCCGAAAGTATCACCGAGGGTGCAGGGATCCTTCGGCTTCGTGGTAGTCTTTTTCGTAGTCGTCGTTTTTGCAGTAGTTGTCCAAGTTGTCCTTGCTGTAGTTGTTTTTGTCGTCGTTGCTGCAGTTGATTTAGTTGTCTTAATCGTTGTAATTTTCGGGGTTGTCGTTGTAGATGCATCCATCCCTGTCGTTTTAGCGCACATCGAACATAATTGAAATCCGACGCATCGTGAGAGATCTTTTAGGGCTAATTTTGCTGTATTTGCATGATTGATAAAGGTACCAGAAGAGGATGGCAGTGTCTCCGTCAACAACATCTCCGAAGTTTTGCAACTCGAATGAACTTGGCACCAAATTAAAGAAACACAATTTGGTTGATTGATGCATTCCGTTAAGCAACCCTAACAATCGGGTGTTTTTCAAAGCCTAGAACGAAAACCCACCTTTAAACTTTCAGAAGTGTAAATCGCCGATTCAGCTGAAGCATTTGAATCTGAGAGCTGCGGGTTTTTCAGATTTACTCGCTCCCAGAATCTGTCGCTCTAAACTTTGCCAATAAATTATGTTTTGCTCGTAAATGGAGACAAAACAGCATATTATGCCATTTGAACTTACCTGAACTATACGTGTGGCGCCAAAAACGGCAAGGCAAACGCCGAACAGCATATTCCGGTAAATTTACGTTCAGGCTCACCGAAATCGGGGTTTTTTTTCCGAAATACCAGATCTGTCATCGCAATTTACCCTGTTAGTGTGATTTGAAATAGCCAGGCAACCGTATGCCTAAGCTGTCGCACCAAATCTGCATTTTTTGAAGGTTGAACCCGAACATAGTCGCTTAAAGAGATAGGGGCGGCATCTCGGTTTAAAATGCGCGGACCGTTGCGCGGCTCTGGGGATTGCGCGGGTCTGCGGGCGGCTCTCGGTCAATGCGCGGCCCGTCCACGGGCAATTGCGCGGGGCTGCCCTTTCAGCCGCGCAATCGGCCGCCGACGGAGAAAGCGCGGGCCGCGCATTTCGTCCAGAGTTCATGAAAGTACAAGAACTAAAACTTAGGAAATTCACTTCATTTTTATCTAACTTTATAAGCCGTTTACTTATAATGCTATTTGATGCTTCTTCAATCTGGTATGATCAGCGTACAACTTCTATGTGCTGCGAGGTTAGTTTCCAAATACATTACAGGTCTACAACCTTATGGATGTTCGGATGGGGCTGAAAAGAAAGATAAAAGTCGGTTTTTCTTGTTGTAAATGTACTTTTGTTTTAGTTTTTAGAAATAGAAGCGATCACAAGCGGCCGCGGCGCCACTTCCGCAACGATCTACCTTGGCCGCAGCACGATGCGCATTTCTGGTTAGTTTTTTATCTATTTTTACTTCCGTAACATGCGTTTTCTGGGAACGCTGCCGCGTTTAGGATTGGTCTTTTTAGGATTGATGATCCTGGGCAAGGGCGAGCTGCAAATTTCGACCGCCTGGCGCTGGCCGGTGACACAGCTAGAAAGCACGGTAAGCTGTTTGAAATTATCGGGTTTCATTGTGAATTCAGGAATGATCGATGCTTCTATGGCCCGGGCGTGCGAAGGATCGACAGGATATTGGTTTGTTTTCCTTTTCTTTGGTTTGGCGATCAAAATTGTCATAGTTGTGGGAATTTAGGGTATCAAAATGTCGCGTTTGCCTTGTTCTTTTAGCGATATTGTCTTATTAAAGCTTATTTTAGATACGCCGCACGAAAACGCGCCAACGTGCCGAAAACACCAAGTGATCTCGTCCAGTCAGAGGTATTTAGTTCTTGGAAATGACCTGTTTGTTTAGGGGAAGGCCGATTTCGAGGCAAACGCCGCATCTACTAGGAAGTCGCCGGTGAGTAATTTTTCCCGGGTCTTTTTCGTCGTTTTATGTTTATCTATGCTTAGTTACGATTACCTATCATTATCTCGAAAATGAACATCTCGAAAATCAACATCTCGAAAATAAACATCTCGAAAGTTCATTATCTCGAAAGTTAATTATCTCGAAAGTTCATTATCTCGAAAGTTAATTATCTCGAAAGTTCATTATCTCGAAAGTTAATTATCTCGAAAGTTCATTATCTCGAAAGTTCATTATCTCGAAAGTTCATTATCTCGAGAGTTCATTACCTTGAAACCCGGTCCTTACCATTCTACTCCACCTTTTGATATCAACCCGATATTGATGTCACAAATAAAGTGTTCATAAGCATCATAGCTCTCGCAGAGGGCTTGTTGCGCCTGGTAGTCGGGACGCAGCTCTTTAGCCTTGTATCCTTGTTGCTGCATTTCCAGAATTCGGATGTCCAGCCGTTCCTGGCATGCCGCCAGCCTCTCGATGAAAGACCAGATCGCCATGCTCTTCCCGTGAAAGTGTCGGCCCAAAGCCGAATTGTATCCCTCTAAGCCACTTTCGAGATAATGAACTTTCGAGATAATTAACTTTCGAGATAATGAACTTTCGAGATAATTAACTTTCGAGATAATGAACTTTCGAGATAATTAGCTTTCGAGATAATTAACTTTCGAGATGTTTATTTTCGAGATGTTGATTTTCGAGATGTTGATTTTCGAGATAATGACCAATCCCCCTTAGTTACGTAGTTTTTCAGGGTTCTGCCCGCGAGGAAAGATGCGAATACTGGAAGGACAGCACATCCACGAGACCCAGGTAAGTATCCATTGAATTTCAAAAGCCGATTAACCCACAGGCGGCCTTCCTGTCCCAACTGATCGAATCCTCGGTTCAGCTGGCCGATTCCAAAAGGCTGATGAAGGTAGTTTCTGCGTGAGTCTTTTGAATTTATAGTAACAAAATCCTATAAAAAATGATAGAGACAAAGGAGAATACACAGATTGCCTTTTCAGGTTCTTTCACTACCGGCACACGTAAAAAGTAAGTCTGAGTCGACAAACGCATGGTATGACGACATACCATCGTGTAAAAAAGTGCCGTTTCAACTAAAATAAGAATAAAAACCGCTATCGGAATTAAGGAAATGCATCTACGTCAACATGCGACCATCCCCACCGAACAACTCTACTCGCGGGACAAGATGATCATAATTTTCTATGTTTTAATGTGATTTTTATAATGGATTCTCCTGGTATAAACTAAATCAGTAGATGGCACACTCATACACATGTCCCAAATCATAAAGCCTGCTTAAAAGCAGGTTTAATAAGTGAATTTAACAATTGAAAGGAGGAAAAGCCGACCTACGGCCTTTTTTCGCGAGAGCCGCCCCCCAGACCCGCGCAATTCTGAGAGCCGCGCAACGGCCCGCCCTTGCAAATTGCGCGGGCCTGAACGCGGGCACGTCTCCAGGCCCGCGCATTCCCCCGCACAACGGCCCGCGCATTTTGAACCGAGATAATGCAATCGATTACGCGCGGGAAAGAAAATGTCTCTGCGCCTCTCCCCTGAGCGCGCTCTCTGCCCTGTTGGCTACTTGCCAATTTGTTGATGGGGGGGATCGACACATGCCGTCGGCATCCCTTTAAAGCAGAAGCCTAAGATGAAGCTCGTTTTAGGCGCTTGGTACAATCGGATGTATGCCAATTTGTATTTTGAGTTTCCCCATAGTTCACAAGAATTTATTTTTGATCGAAATACGCTGGAACACCGCGACTAACACCGCTTCATGCAGAGACAAGCCGCATCAGCGTAGCAGAAGAACGAGCAGCCCACATCGTTCCACTTCCCGTTGTTGTTCATCTGCGGATTTCGCTTTGCTGAAGGAATCTACCCACCAGGGTGCAATTCTCAGGCACGATGGTATTCTGGTAGTTTGTCGTGCGTGACGGGCTGCCGACGTCCCAATTGACGTAGTCGACTGGGGAACGGTCTCTAAAAAGACGATAATTAAATCGTTGTCTAAGCAAATTTTTTTCAGTAATTAAAGTAGATAAAGCTGGTTAACCTGCCTCCAAATATTCCGATAGTTGTGTGCGGTTTTGACATAGCCCAGACCGAGATGCACCAGTCTTACAGCACATTTTCCGAGTTGTGACATTTTCACTGTAATCGTAGAGAGATTTTAACGCCTTTTATGATTTTTAAAACTGATTTACATCATCAAGTTATCCTATCCAAGCTCCGGATCTGAAAAATCATACGTTTCAGTTGGTCTTGCTCCTTCTGAGAATGGACTGTTGCCACTTGAAGCTTGTTGGTGCTGCAGATGTCTTGGCATCGCTAGATTTGGCTCAACGTTTTTAAAACAGGAGTTGTACTAACATTTCCCAACACGCAATTTGGCTGAAGTAGGTAATAATTCGTATTATTGTAGGTCCAAGTAGCTTCTTGAGGGACTACAAAGCACGATAAATTGGCAAAATGTCAAAAAAAAACTTGCTAAGATCACAGGGCCCCTTGGTGGTAGCCGCTTTCCTTTTTGTCGTTGTTTTCTTGGTTGTCGTTTTTGGTGTTTTTGCGGTGCTTTTCGTAGTGCTTGTAGTCGACGTATTAATCGAGGGCGTTTCTTCGGCTTGGAAACCCATGCACATCGTCAGATTCGGGTATACTTAAACGGATTTAGGTATTATAAGTCTGTTGTTTTACTTCCTGCCAAAATAAAACTAAAAATACGATGTAACTAATTGCTAAAATTTACACAACGAGCTTGGAAAAGCCGTATTTCCAGTCAGTAGGAACCCGGAACGCAAGCAGCTCCAGTCCGGAAGACACCAAATTATGGAGGTACAGTTCGGTTGCGAGATACAATCCGATAGACAGGTCTATGAATTTTTACCAGAAAAATCATTAAACCTGACTTTTAAGGCTACAGCCGTTAGTTTTTGGAAAAAGCCCGCTCCAGTGGCGCTGGCGGCAGCGGAGACCTTCAGAGTTGCCAAATTCTTCTGCCGCCAGCTCTTGTCACCCTACTTATAAAGCGCTTGGATATGCAAAACGATCATACTGTGACGCTTGCTGAGGTAACAAGAATAGAGAGCAGGAATTGAATCTTTTGCATCCTGTAGTTTTTAGGAGTTCTTTCCGAGCGTTTAGAGAGTTTTAGAGACTCTACTTTGAGGGGATAACTTTAGGTATCGTAGCAACTTGACTATCCGTCACATAACTCAGTCATTTTGGAGGGCCTTTACTCGCTTGCATATCTGTTTGAAAATCTTCTCGGCAGTAAAGGGTTGTCGATGCTAATACGTGAGTTCACACCCAATAACGAAACAGAGACAAAATTTGTATTGCCTGCACACACATATCGATTTTCACGTAAGTCGCTGCATGCAAATACAATTAGCCATGAATCCAGGCCCGGTCTTGGCGCATGAGACATCATTCCATAACCCGCTTACTTGGAGCTGAACAAGACGACTAGGATAATACCCAAAAATACCGTAGTGCAGGCTTCTTCATTTGCGTTAGCGTCGAAATCCGAGGGCTGTTTTTTTGCCCAGCTCGTATAATCGACTGCGGAGCCATCCCTACAAAATGGTTGGTGCAAAATAGAAACGAACTGGCCTCCAGAGGTGAGTATATGAGCCGTTTGGCTGCTTACTATGCGTCATCCCAATATGAGCGATCTGATTGACATCACATACGTTCATACGATGCAGCGTTTCGACTGAAATATTTTTGTGTAGCGTAGGTAAGCACTCACTGAGGGTCCTATTATTTTCCCGGTCCGAATGAATGGTCGGAAGGTCTAGGCAGAGTCCCGCACAACGTTGGATACAAGCCTGAATTTGCATTTGGAAAATGGATTGACAAAGTGCTTGTTAAAACCTGATACTTACGTTTCCATTGGCGCAACCAAGGTTTTGCTGCCAAAAGTAGTCCGTCTCGTTGAAAGACCATGTGGCGTTGGGGACTATTGAAATTCATTAAATTCCTTCAAGCTTACGGGCCGGACAGCTGGCGTCTAAGGACGGTGCTTCATTGTCTCGGGAACTACAGTTTACGGCAGGATCATAACCTACACAATTTTGCGGGTCGAGAAATGCTAAAAAAATTCAATTTTGATAAATTATATAACCATTTTCGTAGCGTTTTGCAAAACATTCCTTACCTAAGACCAGTTCAGCTTGATCCAAACTCGACAAAAGCTTCGTATGCATATTGCAAAGCATTGGGGACGGGCAATAGACAACAGATTGACAAACGGTCGTCGCCGAACAATTACTAAGGCAGCCCTATTCACGATTGCGTTCTGGCCCCCGGGCAAACTGACACCTTTAGTGTCGCTTTGTCGGGAAGTGGTGCCAGCAAGCTGGTCACTGTTTTCACGGCATTTGAGATTTTGCCAAGAATTTTGGAGATGCTCGTGGTGTCCCGATAATTAACTCGCTGCCAGCTTTTCCCAACCTGAACAGAAATACATTTTTCGTAAACCTAGCCCACAGTAACCGCAACCTCCACGGAAGCAATGATAAGCAAAATTGCGAAAATTCGTCTTGCAGAAGGAGGCATTAAAAGTTTTAGAGCGGTAAGCCGAAAAAAGCTGTCCTGGCGTGCGCAAACATCTTTTGCAGCTTGGCAACTGTTCTTCCGAAAAGGATATACTGCCATATGTTGCTTGACGACAAAACGAGCGATAAACAATTGTGGAACTTTGGTGATCTTTGTAAACGTAAGTACGTGTTTCTATTCCGTACTACAATCCTACTCCATCCCTGAAAATTGTATCTCCTGCCCTTTCCGCCGCCCTTGCTATCATTTTTTAGTAGTTATCAAAGTCAGAGATAGTGTGCTGCGGAAATAAGATTATTTTAAATTCATCTCGCAAGCGCGTTCGAGCGGCGATTCGGATGTTACAAGGAGTGCTTTTTTGAGTCATCGGCAAAACCTTACAAGACCCAGCTCATTCGATAGAGAATTCGATTCTGTACAAGACCTCGTTGCAGGGCCGTAACAAACCCAAATTTCGGGGGGGGGGCGATCCCAAAATTTTTTCACTAATATGACTAAAACTACAGCGCCGCAGGCAAAATTTTTGAAAACATAGGGTTTATAACACTAAAACTAGTGTTAAAAATAGCCAAAAACAGCGCCGCAGACAAAAAATTTTTTGGAAAAATTAAATCATAAGGGTCCCCCCTTATGTACTTTTCGGCCTTCGGCCGATTTCGGGGGGCGGCTCGCCTCGCCCCCCCTTACGGGCCTGCCTCGTTGTACTTTTTTGCGGAATGGCTATTCCAGATTTTATAAAATTTTAAAACTGCACTCGAAAGCCTCTCCTTTCGCTCGAATGGCACTCATGGTAAGAGACAACCAATGGTTTTTGAATTTTAAAAAAATCAGGGTTAGCCATTCCGCAAAAAAGGACAACGGGGTCGTGTTCAGAATCAAATTCTCTATCAAATGAGCTAGGTTTCGTAAGGTTTTGCAAAAAGCACTTCTTGTTAGCAGACGCCGCGAATCTTTTGCCAACCATGTTGTTAACATTCAGTTACTCAGATAGTCAGCAAGACCCTGATTGGAGCACGCTACTCTAGGTATCGTAGCAACACGGCGGCCGGCCCATAGCTCTGTGATTTTTTGCCCCTTAACGGTCTTGGTTACAATATCAATGTCAGAAAAGGTTTATTTCAGGTTGATGAATTTTAGGAAAGCCGCTGCATACAGACGCAGCATGCTGCTCCGCTGATGCATGCGACATCGTTCCATATTTTTTGGATTTGAAGCTGAAAAGCGCCAATGTATTCCCGGGGCCACCTACCACGGTGCAATCCTCATCATGTCCGTAGCCATCTATATTGGATGGCTGGATTGGCGTAGCCCATTTGAGATAGTCGATTGCGGAGCCGTCCCTATAAAACGACTACTATGATAGTGCCAAACGCTGTCTCACCTCCAGAAATATGTGTAGTTCCCGAATGCGTATTTATGCGTCATGCCGATATGCACAACCAGATCGTTACAGGAGATGGCCCGGGAAAGGGTTTCGTCTGAAATATGTTGCGCAAATATTCACTTTACGGTAAACATGGGTAATTAGGATTTTTGTAGGTAAAAATGTTGATGGCCAATGTTGAATCAGGATCAATTAACAAGGCTGTAAATGATCCACTTAATTAGATATGCTGCTCCAAAGTCAGTCAAAGACCGCTAATTTTAAACAATTTTTTCCCAAGGGTCCCCCACCGCTTCAGATTTTCCAAACACAATGTCTTTATGCCATATTTTGTCTTTTCGCGTCTTCCAGGTATTAAATTTATTATGGCAAACGCGGCTTCATAAAAATTAATAATTCTGTTTTTTTTGTTATTCACGATGTGGCAAAGGGTGTTCCTGCATCTAAATAATCCACCTGCATTCCGTATAAAACTTTCAAATGTAAGACCCAAACACTGCAGCTGCTGTTTCCTCAATAAAAGGACAATCATCGGTCCATCAACAATAATCGAAAAAAGGAATCTATTTTGTGTTTTTCATACATTTTATTTAAATGTATTTCGATTGTTTTTTTATGAAAAAGTAATTTAAAAATTTATGTATATTTTTGTTTTTAATTTCGTTCCTAAACATTCTTCTTC